CGGGCGGGCGGCCCGGGACAGGGCCCGGCGCCGCCCCCGCCGCCCATTGGCTGGCGGAGCAAATGTCCTTATAAGGCGTGGAAGCGCCGAATTCCTGTGGCCGCGGCTTCCTGAGCCCCCTCGGCCACCGGGGACCCCCCCGCCCGACGCAGCCACCCAGCGTCCCCGCCGGCCGGGGGGGGAAGGGAACACCGGTCCCTTCGGAGTTAGGGGAAACTGAGGCAGCCAGGGGCATGGGCTTCCTACCCGGTCCGGGTGTCAGTTCACCTCCCCGCCCTGGACCGCAGTGAGAGACGGGGAACCGCTGGGTGGGACCCCCAGGCCCTGAAATCTGGAACGAGAGCCCCCTGTCCCGCAGCCGGCACCGGGCAGATGGTTTCCTCCCTGGCTGTCTCGCAGCAGCCGGGGCTTGTGGACAGGAACCCGGGCAGGAGGAGGCCAGGGGAGCGAGGGCATTGACGCATGAGTAGGAGTTTCTCCGTCCAAAAGGAAAAGGCCTTCTGGTGGAATAAAGGGCGCAAAGATACGGAGGGTGGGAGAAAACGGAAAGACAAAAGGCGTCGGCTGGGGACGGGCTGCCAGAAGGGGCTGTGAGTTGAGGCTGAGGGACGCCGGCCCTCCTGTGAGGGTGGACTGCGGAGGGTACGGTCATGAGATGCCCCCAGGACAGGCCTGGCGCACAGTGCGTTTTCAGTAAGTTCATCCGTGAATGAATAGACGATCGGGTGTGGCGGCGCCTGCCTGTCACCCCACAGCACAGGTCAGGAGTTCACGGTCAGCCAGGCCAACCTGGGCTACCTGAGACCCTGCCTCAGGACAAACAGGTCAGCCCCTCTGTGGGTGACGCCGATCCCCGAGGGGTCCCCGCTCGGGGTGCAGCCGGCAGAGTCCGGAGCGCCCGGAATAGACGTCCTCCGAAGATCCCGAACACCGGCCGCTCCACGGAGGTCCAGGGTGTGAAAGCAGGAGGGCGGCTTTCTCCCTACCCTGCGCGGCTGCCTTTGGGGCAACCCTTCCTCGGGGTGGGGGCCGGGGCTGTGCCGCGGGTCGGGAGGTCGCTCGGAGCTGGGTCGGCGCAGGTTCCCAGGAGCAGGCATTGAAGGATGGCCGTGCGGTGGGGGACACGGCCAGGCTCAGCGGGGCCTAACCACTGGACAGACAGACAGACGCCTCTCCAGCCCGCCTGTCTGCCTCTTTCCTTCTTCCTCCATCTCCAGGGCACACCCTCACCCCCAAACTTAAAAAAAAATGGTGAGCGGTGGTGGCGCCCGCCTTGAATCCCAGCACTCGGGAGGCAGAGGCAGGAGGATCTCTGAATTCGAGGCCAGCCTGGGCTACAGAGTGAGTTCCAGGACAGCCAGGGCTACACAGAGAAACTCTGTCTCGGAAAAACAAACAAACAAACAAACAAAATTACACAAAGTAGGTGCCAAAGAGACGGCTCACAACGGCCTGTGACTCCAGCTGGGGGGGGGGCGATGCCTCTTCTGACCCCTGTGGATGCTGTACACACGTGGTGAACAGACACACATGCTTATTTGTTTATTTATTTTTGATTGATTGGTTTTTCTTCGAGACAGGGTCTCTCTGTGTAACCCTGACTGTCCTGGATCTCACTCTTTAGCCCAGGCTGGCCTCGAACTCAGAGATCCGCCTGCCTCTGCCTCCCGAGGGCTGGGAATAAAGGCGCGCGCCACCGCCACCCTGAAATTGCTTCATTTAAAAAACTGAGTAAACCAGTCTACTTCAGCCATTTCTCAGCAGGGCTGACTGGAGCCGTGAGCTGTTACCGCGGCTCTGTCCCCACCTCTGAGCTGAGCCTAGCTTTCTGAACACTCAGACGGGGAACGCATTCCATGCAGCGTGGAACGCAGGCCGCATTCAAACCCCGCCCGCTGCCCTGTGACTGCCCTGAGATCCCAGAACCGAAAACTCGGACCCCAGAATCCAAGGCCCTGGGCTTCTGGCAGCTTGATGTATCAGAACTTTGACCCAAGATCTCAAATTAATGGTCTACAGAGTGAGCTCCGGGCCAGCCTGGTCTTCAGAGTGAGCTCCGGGCCAGCCTGGGCTACAGAGTGAGCTCCGGGCCAGCCTGGTCTTCAGAGTGAGCTCCGGGCCAGCCTGGGCTACGAGCCTGGTCTACAGGAGACCCTCAAAGCAAAGGCCTGCAGGGAGCCTGGGTTCAAGTTCTCCTTCCCGTCTCACTGTGACTCCGCGGATTTGTCCGAGCCCTGCGCTCCAGGCCCCTGCTCTGAAAACACAGGCTGAGGTTTGCAGAGCGCTCTGGGCGTCCGACGCCGACGTCAAGCGTCCTAACGATTTTGGCTCCGGCTTCCGGAGCTGGCCAGGACCCAGGCCGGTCTCGCCCCTGCTCCTGGGCCACCTGGACAAGGAGCGGGGTGTGCGCCTGTGCCTTGAGCCCAGCCCTCGGGAGGCGGAGGCAGGGGGATCTCTGAGTCCCAGGCCATCCTGGGCTGCACGCGGAGTCCCAGGACGGCCGGGGCTACATGGCGAGATCCCTTACTCAGAGTAAATAGAAGAAAATAAAACGCCCTCCCTCGGCCGCACCTGGCCTGCAGGGCGGGAGTGACGGGACGGGACGGGCTGCAAGGGGCCCCGTGGTTTCTCCGCGAAGACCAGGCTGGGCCCTGCTGCTCTGGGCACCCAGCTGACAAGGGACACCCGGTCACTTCTAACAGGTGACGCGTGTTCCGAAATAACGTCTAGACTGTGTTTACCAGCGCCTACTGTGTGCAAGGTGCGCGCGCCGCGGGAGACTGGAGCACTCTGGACGCGGGAGCGCGCTCCTGCAGCCTCGGCCGCGGAGCTCCGCACGGTGCGTGGGGGCGCACGGTGCCTGGGGGCGCACGGTGCGTGGGGGCGCACGGTGCGTGGGGGCGACGCCCCGCCTGCACCCGGAACCTGACACCTCCGCTCGTGCGTGCGTGCGGCGGACGCTCAGAGAGCGCCCGCGCCCTCAAGGCGGCGGCAGCGGCTTTGGAACCAGGAAGTGGGACTTCGGCGACTTCCCGGAACGCTTGGGGCGCAAAAGGAGGAAAATATGGAACGCTTCACGAATTTGCGTGTCATCCTTGCGCAGGGGCCATGCTAATCTTCTCTGTATCGTTCCAATTTTAGTATATGTGCTGCCGAAGCGAGCACGAACTGGGACGGCCCGGCTCAGGTATTTAAGGGCAAAGACAAGTACGACTTTTTCACTTACGGTAACTTTAGTATTACCCCTTTTTTTCTGTGTGTGTTTAAAGTGATATTTTCGGCCGCCAAACTAAAAACCAACCTTTGGAATGGGTTCACTGTGAGTATCCGTGATAAAAAGGTCCCTACATGTTGATTAATATAACCCTCTAAACGGCACTTTCACCCGCGGAGCCTTCTGGGAAACTATATGCAAATAAGACAGGCATCACGAGGCTCCGCCCCCCACCCGTAGCCCGGACCCGGCCGCGCAGACCCCAGCGTTGTGAGGTGCTCTGGCGAAACTCTATGCTAATAAGCTAGCCTATAAACTCCGCCCCCTCAGCGCTGACGCAGCCAATGGGAAACGTCATGCTAATGAGCAGGTGTCAAGAAACCCTGTGCACGGTGGACTGATGCGGATGCCTATGCCAATAACTTCCTCACCGGACTCCGCCCCTCCGCGACGTGCTCCATAAGACCCCGCCCCCTCGGGGGTAGCCGCCAATAGGAAGCCACATGCAAATGAAGGGGGACGCCGCCCCGCCCCCTGGCAGAGTCGGTCCTAGTGAACCCCTACGCAAAGGTGCTGCCGCCGCTTAGCGAAAGCCCAGTGCGAAGGACCGCGTCCCCTCCGCCCGCCGGGCCGCGGCTGAGCTACGCAAATAAACGGCCTGGACGCGACTTCGCCTCTCCGAGCCCCCGTTAATGTGAAGTCCGGGGCAGGTGGGCCGCGACGCGCGACTCCAGCCGGGCCACGGCTTTAGGAGGCACTGGGCACCTCAACCGCGCTCCTCGCGGCCCCGCCCCTCAGCGCCGACGCGACAGGTCCGCAGAGAGTGACAGGCGGCCAGGCTCCGCCCCTCCGCCTTAGAGCCCCGGCCCTCCCGGGGCGGCCGTGGCGATCCCGGCGTGCCCTGCGCGCGGGCGGCGCTCTGGCCCAGCACTCAGACGGGGAACGCATTCCATGCAGCGTGGAACGCAGGCCGCATTCAAACCCCGCCCGCTGCCCTGTGACTGCCCTGAGATCCCAGAACCGAAAACTCGGACCCCAGAATCCAAGGCCCTGGGCTTCTGGCAGCTTGATGTATCAGAACTTTGACC